ATATCCATGCCATAGCTTTCAATTAACACTAATATCATGTTATTCCACAATCTATCATATCGTTTATAAAACAAACATTTATTTCATCATAACAAATGCTAGAAATGTAAAGTCCCCCTTCCCCCCAAAAAAGAAAAGGCAGCAGTCACCCACAACCACAGAATGCTTAACTATCAGCAACTTTAGCTGCAACTGACGCCTAACTTCTGGACTGCAGCCCCTGGCTTACTCTTTGTGCACATAAAATGTTTACATATAAAGAACAGCATCTTGATTGTTTGTATTTAACTGCTATGTATGTAAGATTTTCCATTATGGAACGGTTAAGGCTTATGCTCCTCTAGCGTATTCTCTTAATGGTGGTGATTGCCAGAACTGGATCCAGCTGTAGAAACACCATTGTCCAAGGGAATGCTCTTGAAAGTGGTCTGGCTCAAATTCAACACAGGTAACATTTGGAAATCTACTCATACACAGTTCTTAAATTAAAATAACTACTACCATCACCAAAAGATTGAAAGCATATAAAACAATGATGTGAATCAAACAATCTAACCTCAAGGGGGCATCTAGTTCTTAGACATCAAACATCTCTAAGACTTGTATATAATAGATGCATAACTTCATATAAAATATTTGAAAATTCTATGATTTTAATAAACTCAAAACAATAATACAGAGGATTCCATTATAAGAAGCTAATGGGAAAAGGGTCTCAAGATGTGTGAGAAAAAAACACACTATTGCAACAATTTCTATACGGGAAAAATGGAGTTACCACATGAAGTGAGTAAGTAAAGTAAAAGGTAGGCAAGCAGGTGCCACTCAAAATTCTGTTAGGGACTTCAAAATCCAGTATTTCCATGCTTTGAACAGCCTGGATCTGCTTCCCAATCATATTAGTGTGTTACCTAGTTTTGATTAGCAAGTAAGAACTGGGATAAGATAAGAAAGAAATTCAGTCCTGTTAGCATTAGTATTAAATTCTTATTATTAAATTCAGGGATTTTTTATTATTAAATGCAGGGCTTTTTGGGAGAAGCATTTAAACTGAATAACAGAGACAGAGAGTTAATTGATACAGACCATTTCTGTCTCCAGCAGTCTACAACTAATAGGGTAGTCGGTGTTTCTAACATAGATGTTTGTGCGGTTAAGAATATTATGGTTGCTGTTAACAAAAAACAACCTTTTGATAGTGTGTGCCAGATCATGTGCACCAATCAAACAAGTGATAAGGAAGAAGGGGAACTGAGAAACAAAACACGTTATATAGGAAACAAGCACAGGGTCAGCCAAAACGGATTCAAATATCTAAACACCAATCACAAAGTATGAGGAATAAACAGGGTGAACTAGAAATCCAAGTACATGAGGCTCATGTACTGAATCAAGATCACATGAAGTGTTAGTACCACTTTATAATGTCTTGGTAAGATCCCACTTGTAATATTGCATCCAGTTTTGGTCACCATGATGTAAAAAAGATGTTGAGACTCTAGAAAGAGTGCAGAGAAGAGCAACAAAAATGATTAAGGGGCTGGAGGTTAAAACATATGAAGAATGGTTGCAGAAATTAGTGTAAATCTAGTTTAATGAAAAGAAGGACTAAGAGTGACATGATAGCAGTGTTCCAATATTTAAGGGGCTGCCAAAAAGAAGAGGGGGTCAACCTATTCTCCAAAGCACCTGAAGGCCAAACAAGAAGCAATGGATGGAAACTAATCAAGGAGAGAACCAACCTTGAAATAAGGAGACATTTCTAAACAGTTAGAACAATTATTTAGCGGAATGGCTTGTCTTCAAGTAGTGAGTTTTCCATCAGTGGAGGATTTTAAGAAGAGATTGGACAACCATTTGTCTGAAATGATATAGGGTCTCCTTCTTAAGCAGAGCTTGGACTAGAAGACCTCCAAAGTGGCTTCCAACTCTGTTATTCTGTAAGAAACACTGCTCAGGCATTATGCTAGAACACCCTCAACCACTATTGAGTTGAAGCAGTTTGCTATAGAAATATAGATAAAAATTGATAACCCTATACGTTTTCTATGTGAATTATGTCTGAACTTGGCAGTTCCAAAAATTAAATTTGTTCTTCATCCCTTCTCTAATTGTGTGCATATTTAGGATTACTGTCTTGCCACTTTGGACATCAATTACAGTTAATGGGCCAATGGGCTGCTGTAATTTTCTTTACTTTGAAGTAAAATTTATATTTTTTTAATGCTGGCAAATTGGCTAGGTCTAAACCAGCAAAGTATTGACAAGCATGTATGTTCTCAGTGAGCAATGGTGTCCCCTCCACTATTCTAATTCCATTTTTACTGAGTGGTTTTCTCATGTCCACTAGGAAAAATAAACACAGACTTTAGCATGGCAAGATGTTGTTTCTAGGTTCTTTGTGACTTCCTAGATGATTTTATTGTGTAATCTTGAAGTGATTTTAATAAAATGGCTGCTTGAGAACATTTTTCTCTATTTCCAGCCTATAGCTTTGTCTCTGAATCATCAGTGGAACTTTATAGTATTTATATAGTTATTTAACCTGTTCCACCCCAACCTGTTCAATGAGGTCTTTAGAGATATATTTTGAGTGGATCATAATGTGCCTCTAGAATATGTGTGGTGAAAAAGTTGGAGATTATTGCCATCCATGATCATCTCTGGTTGATAATCTGGGGTGGGGTGGGGTAAGAATCAGAGGGTGGGATGGTTTCAAACGCTGAGATGTAGCTGAATATAGGGGTGGAGAGTTAGAAATTTTTGAAACCAATTTCAGTAAACAACTGGCTGTTAACAGAGAAAAGGCACCTGTCTGTAATCTTAAAATATGCCCACTTCAGGGGTGGACTGCAGTATGGGAAAGAGGGTGAAAGAGGAAACCCCCCAAAGTAGCATCACCTCCTTCCCCTTCGCACTTTGATAGGAGACTGTTTACATAGGTCACTTCCTTCTGACTGTTCCACAAATGTAGGGAACCTGGAACTGGATCCATCTGCTCTATACAGGTAGTCCTCGACCTACAACCACAACTGAGCCCAAAATTTCTGTTGTTAAGTGAGACATTTGTTAAGTGAATGTTGCCCCATTTTATGACCTTTCCTGCCACAGTTGTTAAAGTGAATCACTGCAGTTGATAAGTTAGTAACCTGGTTGTTAAGTGAACCTGGCTTCCCCATTGACTTTACTTGTGAAAAGGTTGCAAAAGATGATCACATGACCTTGGGACACAGCAAAGGTCATAAGTATGAACCAGTTGCCAAGCATCTGAATATGGATCACCTGATCATGGGGATGCTGCAAAGGTAATAACTGTGAAAAATGATCGTCATATTTTTCAGTGCCATTATAACTTTGAACAGTCACTAAACAAACTGTTGTAAATCGAGGACTACCTGTACACAGTAGGCTCCCCAGCATCACCTGCACTGTGTCCTTCTGACAAAATGTCTTCACCAGAGAGCAGAAATTTCTATAGCTAAGGAAACAAGTGGCTCCAAAGTAACTGCAGAATTTTTGTTGAGGAACAGATTTATCTTTGCAGGCAGCTTTTAGAATTATGAGATTATAGACACCGGGGAAAAGAAGAAAATACACAAGAAAAAGAGCCGCAAAGAGAAAAGGGGAAGAACAAGAGCCAGAGAACCGGTTGTTATTGATTGACAACAGCTACAAAAAGAGGCAGAAGTACAAAGCTCTTGAAATTGTCCAAGTAATAGCAGTGTGAAAGGAGAAGCTAAACTGGAGAAAGTGGAAGAGCTTGAAAGAAACTGTGATGGAAGAAAATCAAGATGCTGTTGGTGTCAGGGTCTGCAAAATAAGATGTGCTCAGAACTCAACTGGTAAAGCCCAGGGGACACCATCCAAGACTGTGCTGTCCTCCAGTGGCCAAACTCAGGGGAACCAAGATAATTATTTGTCTCAGGCTGTTAAGACAGTTTGTCTCAAAACCTTCTCAAGAACTGAAGGATCCTTTATATGCCATTAAGTTCTTCATAGGTTTGGGATCCAGTTTCAGGAATCACCTCCAAATTAGCTCAGGAGGATGAGGGGAAATAACATGTCAGCGACACAATTCCCCCTTAAAATGCAGCCTTTCCTGGATCCTTCAATTAAAGTTTTTCATTGTTCTTTAAGTGCAGGTATTGAATCAAATTACCATTCAACTGTTATATGTAAAGAATAGATCCCAACAGTTCTTATCCATTTTATATTTCCATTATTGTTTACTTCAGCATTCTTCCAAAGGTGCAAGACAGTGTTCCACTAACATTTTCAAAGTCACACTTCAGAAGACAGATAACCAAAGACTGTTGATCCTCTTTTAAACAGAAAGTTGATAAACTGAAGGATATGAATGTTATGAGATGGTCTACAGGCAGGAGTGTACTTTTCAATTCAGTCAATTACTAGTCATTTGGAAGAGGCATCAAATACATCAAAAGCAGATCCGGCATGGACAAAAAGCATGGTTATATGGCTTGAACTCTGCTGAAACTGCAGAATCTCATTTCTAGACTTCACAGTATGGACATGGTGTTTGGATTAGGTATAGTAAAGATAAGAGGACAAGAGGCTGTTTTAAAAGCCTCACTACTCATTTGATTAATATTCACTTAAATTAGCTAGTTCAGCATGAACCATTCTTTCATCATTTGTTCCTTAAAAACATCCCCAGAATAATTTCCTTGTGGATTATTTCTATTAATCCATTGGACCTGTTAAAAATGATTTGTTATAATTGTTGAAAAATGATCTAACATGAATAAATGAAAGTTTATATGCCTCTAAAATCTAAAGCTTTAATCAGGGGGCCGAGGTAGATTCAAGTGAAAAGGATTCTGCAGATCCAGGTTAACTTTAGGGACAACCCATCAAATGTTTTCATGCTTATTTGCTGAATAATCCAAACAACTTCACTAAGAGGAATTTGCTTTGAGAACTATGCAGAGACACAATGGGGAGAAATGAAAAAGAGCAGTGATGTTTATATTTTTATTTGCTTTGGAGGAATTTGTACAGAACTTTAATATATCTATATATTGATTTACAATAATGTGCCATTTAATCGTAGAGATGGAGAAGGGAAGGTAAATACTTAAGATGAGAACAAGTTTTCAGGGAAGAATATATACCGGTAAGTTCAAAATGACCTGAACTTGTGAGGGTATTTAAGAACAGCAAAAAGGTCATGATCATCTAAAAAAAGATTTAAAAAAATCAGTGAAGTTGGAAAAATGTAAGAAAAAAAACAAGCGGCAGTCCTCATCTATGGAATATGCAGTGGAACCAGTACCTTGCTTCAAATGCAGCATATTCTGTTGGGTGGATTGGGGAAGAGATCAAATGCAGGGATCCTGCAGTAATAGAAGAAGAAACATCACACAAAAAAGCATTTTACATGCATAATAATAATGCTCCACCTTGAGTCCACCCAGAGACATATCAATGTATTCTTAAAACAGAATGGACAAATATAAGCATATGCAAACTATGAATACCAAGATTAAACTACGTTACTGATCATTAACAGAAAACATCTTCAAGTAGTGGTAATACCGGTACTGCAACATTAGTCAGATTATTAAGAATGGTTACTGTCTATGAAAACAAGCAAAATGTGCTCATATTTAATGTGTGCGTGTGTCCAAAATCTAGAATTAAATCCTACATTCCCTTATATCACTAATTGTTTAAAGCTGTCTTCTCTAACCTAGTCACCTCCAAACTTCAGAAAGCTGCAGTCCCAACTTATCTGCAGTGTTTCAGCTTGAAAATAGATTTTAAACCATAGAAATAGATTTTAAGGCATATCTTATATCCTTCTAAGACATTATGTTGTCTGGAAAGGATGAATGTATGCCTGCATTGGGTTGAAGGGTATCTAAAGGGAAAGGACTGCATACTGAACAAGTGTCCTCTTTGGGTGGGAAGGATTCTGTGCACACAGAAAACTTTATGTGAATAAGTATACATGCAGATTTCTAAATACCATTCACTTTACTGAACACATACATTTAATAGCCTGATCACTTCCAATATGAACCTTCTACAAGGTTCTGAGGTTTTTCAAATGTATTAACTTTTAATTCCCACAATCAATTGAATGAGGGAGTATGGGACCAAACATATGGAAGTCATCAGATTCAGACAGTCTAAATGAAAACAAAACCTGTTTAAAGAGCATCAAAGTCACCTCTGACTCTTCTTCATTGTGCAGGGAAATAGTATAGGCATCAGGTTTATGGCTGAGGTGCTTAACTATCATTAAAACTATGTTGAAGAGTAAAATAATTACAAATACTAAGAGGAAAACGATGAGGATGATCTGCATGGACAGAGAAGCAAAATACCATCAAACATACTGGATAAAAGAACATGTTTTAAGCAAGGCGTCAACATCTATATTGCAAAAAGGGAAATCAAAGTGTAAGATCAAAGTATGGGCAAAAGAACCAGGCTGGATTTCCCCAATTTGATGCCTTTTCAATCTTTGAAAGAATCTGCAAGCTCAGAATTCTGCATTGTTTAAGACCATCAGATTAGGAAAGGATGAAGAAAATGACAGTTTTCCTAGCAGAGTTAAACAGTCCACAACAAGAACATAAGATGAGTCTACCAGTGCATATACTTGCCTCTCTAGAGAAGTTGACTCTCATGCAACAATATCTGTGGTTGGTAGCCAAAGTTTTAACTATAAGATAAGATCTATATGAAAAATACCACAGATACTCTTACTTCAGTGTCACAATGCTAATATCCTTGTGACTACATTTTCAGTCTCTTTTAGTTTCCTTGACAATTGGAATCAGTCAAAATTCCCAGTTCTATACATTGAGGAAAGAAGACAGAGAAAGCTGGTGTAAGAGATAGTCTGGTATATTACCATAATGGCAGTGTTACTACTTTCCACAGACTTGCAATCACATAGCCGGCAATACTCCTCAACATTATGACTTGGCACTGGCATCGGGTCCACCACATACAGGCAGTTACTGCAATTGTGAGAAACAAGAAGCAACAACAAGCATCAAAAATCTATCCCATGGCAGTCCACCGTTCCAGAGGGTACTGAGTTTAATGTTACATTTAGCTGGACATATTGACAGTTTATGGATCATCAGATATTGGTTTAATAAGCCAAGATACACATGAGCCCTTTATCCAAGCATTCAGCTTTATTTTCTCCACTCCTTACATCATGAAGATTCCGAAATTAAACATATTTGATCAAATCTGGTTCATATCACATTGTGATCTTAACCCATGGTCTCAAGTTGATTTAAGATCTAATTTGCTCCAAATTATAACTAGTTTCTAAGTTTAAATGCAACAGAAAACATAGTTAATTGAAAAATTCTACATTAATTGCTGCATATAGTGAATGAAAGAGAGAATCTATTCATTTTAAAAAATTCATTACCTCTTGGCTTATTTGAATTGTTTAATTTTAGGCCAATATCTATAGAGCAAGCAATATTTGATTGAGTCACTTTTCATATGAAAATGTTTCTGAACCTATTTTTTCAATATGACTTAATAATTCTTACATATCAACTTCAAAGCATTCTCAGAACTTCCAGCAACTAACATAGCTAAGAAAAACACTGGCATTCAGCTGTTGATTCCTACCTAAAACATTACTACTTCCATCAAAACTTTGAAACTACCTCTAAGGAGACAACAGAAAGTAATTTCAGATGTAAAAAATGTGGCCTTTTCTAGAATATTTCTTTTCATAGTCTAAGTCATTCATGATTAGTGTAGCCTATAAATCCAATAAATGAAAAGTAAAATAAGATATCAAACATGAACCTAATAGCTCTTGGAGGAACCCTAATTTTGGAACTATTATTTGCTTGATCAATAATGACCATATTCAAATAAATAAAATGTACATGATGAAAGTGTCCAATGTAAACAGACAGAAAGTGTGAACGTTTAGCTCATTTCCTTATTTCATCTTCCCTATATATTGAAGATCTGTTTTAAAATCAGCTTTTTAGAACAATCACATCTTGCAGAAATTTATGACATTTGAAATTTGTCTCACCAGTCATTCTCAATTTGTTGTTTCAGGTAACTACGTTTACTTATATTCTGATATGGTGGGCAGTCTCAGTGGCAGCCCTCCGTCAGATATTTCTATAGAAGAGAAACAGGATAAGCAGTATGTGACCAATTGTTTTGTCCCGTTGCAAAGTAAAGTAATTAACAATACTCCTCAGTCACTTCATACCCTGCTGGAGAACCTGGAACCCTTAAGATCTTCTTGATCTACATCTTGGCTATCACATCTGCATGTTTTACTTCAATAACATATAAAATTGAATATTAGTTGCTGAGGGTGATAAGATTGGGATATTAAATTAAATTAAGTTAAAACCTGTGGGAGAATAAATACAGTAGAATGCTTTTTGCGAATGATTAAACCCTGAAGAGGGAATAAGTCAAGGACATGTGCATGAAATCCCCTTAATTGTTTAATATATTTATGGAAGAATGGATAAGGAAAGTTTGTGATGACATTAGAAGTGTGATGATTGGGCCATGATTATATGTGAACTTTTGATTGATGTTGTTGGCTGAGGAGCTTGGATCTGAAATTGTATATATGAAAGACTGAGATAATAGTGTTGTTCAAGAAAAACAGAGTGAAAGATTGCAAGTTGTATGTAGATTGTCATGGTTCCGACAGATGAAACTCTTCAAAGAACTCCGAGGCATTGTTTACCTTAAAAAGTATTTATTTGAGAAGCATAGCATTGGCACTAACATAATCGAAGCCAAAAACTGAATTCCCCTCCCCTGAGCACAGTATCAAAGCACAATTCCCTCCTCCAATTAACAGTCATAAATCACATTCTCCAATTAGTTTGAAATGCAGGCTTCCCCTCCAGTTCTCCAGTCCGGCCAATTCTTATCATCTCTTATTTCAATAACCTTGGTTCACACACTAGGTTCAGTATTGTTATGTCTAGCTAAACTCTTATGCATATTCCTCCCCCCAGCATCATCTAACTCTAACTCTAAGAGTAAAACATAAGAAGAAAATGCTTGCATCTCCATCTGTTGTCAAAGCAAAAACATCCGATGTTAGCAGCATTGACATCCGGCCCCCCTTACAAAAAGGACAGATCCTATAACCTAAAAAAAAGCACGTTAGGGACTGTCTCTCGGTTTGTTAGGGTATTTCCTATAGAAGCTTTTGATGAGTCTGTCAGCTTTCACATCGCTAGACTTCACCCAAGTGGCTTCAGACAGTGAATATCCCTTCCATTGTACTAAGTACTGCAATTTCCCTTTAAAAATTCTAGAATCAAGAATACACTTTACTTCATAGTGGGTCTGACCCACTATCACGAGGGTCTGGGTGCCTTCTTAGGGGGAGGTCTTAAAGTGGAACCCCGAAAAGGTTTCAGCAGGGTGAACTCTTCCTAAAAGTCTAAGCAGTTTTAATTCTACAGTGACCAGGTTAATGATCTTCACAATGGGGAAAGGCCCCAAGAATTTCGGTCCTAATTTCTTACTGGGTAATTTGAGACGTAAATATTTAGTTGACAGATAAACCTTTTCCCCAACTTGGAATGTTCTTTGAGGAGCCCTTTTTTATCTGCCTGCTTTTATAGGTCTCGGAAGCCTTTTTTAAAGTAATCTTCGTGGTTTTTCAAACTTCTTCCCATCCCCTTACCCATTGATCAAGTGTCTGAAAAGTGGAGGGCGCCTGGGGGTATTCAGGTATTGGGCTGAATTCTTTTCCTGTGGCTATTCTGAAAGGCATGAAGCCAGTGCTGCTGTGAACAGAGTTATTGTACACCACCTCTGCGAAAGGGAGGAGGTCGGTTCAATTGGTTTGTTGGTAAGAAAAATAGCATCTGAGATATTGCGCCACCATTTTGTTAGCATATTCTGTGGCTCCATTAGTAGATGGGTGAAAAGCAGATGATAGACCTTGAGATGATCTAATTAATTTAAGAAAGCTTCTCCAAAACCTAGCTGTGAACTGCACCCCCCTGTCTGAAATTATTCGTTTGGGGGTGCCATGCAGCTGGTAGATGTTTCAAGAACAATTTAGTCAGTCGTTGGGCAGACGGGAGCACTTTGCAGGTGATGAAGTGAGCCTGCTTTGAAAACAGATCTATCACAGTCCAGATGACTGTATTTCCTCTACTTTCAGGTAGGTCTACTATAAAATCCATAGCAATTTCTTCCCATGGTTGAGAAGGGTCTGCCACTGGCTGCAATAACCCAGGGAGTTTCTCTGGAATTCTTTTCATGGTGGCACATACAGTACAACTCTGGACATAATTTTCCACGTCCCATTTTAATCCCGGCCACCAGAATTGCTGGCGGATGAGATGTAGAGTTTTTAAATACCCAAAGTGTCCAGCCTGTTTTATGTCATGCCGTGTTGGAGAGCGTTAAGATGGCGGGTTTCTGGCAAGTATAACTTCCTTGCAGTAATACAGCTCTGATGGCCACGTCGCTGGCGTCGGCTTGAACTACAAAGGGATCCCCTGGGCAGGGGTGCTTTAGGACCGGTTCAACAGCAAATAGTCTTTTTAAATTCTCAAAAGCGGTTTCACAGTTCATAGTCCATGCTAGTGGTTGGCCGGGTCGTGACTTCCCTCCTCCTTTGCCTGTTTTGAGTAGTTCCATAAGGGGTAGGGCAATCTCGGCAAATGAGGGGATGAATTGACGATAGAAGTTGGCGAAACTTAGGAAGCTCTGGAGCTATTTGCGAGTTTTTGGGGGCTGCCATTCAATTACGGCTTTCACTTTGGTCAGGTCCATTTCAATGCTCTTGTTGGAAATTCTATAGCCAAGATAATCTAATCGGGTCTGGTGTAACTCACATTTTGACAGTTTGACATAAAGCTTGGCATTCAATAGTTTCTTTAACACTTCTCTCACTAGTCTTACATGATCAGTCATATTCGTGCTGTATATCAGGATGTCATCAAGATACACCAGAACTCCTTTGTATAAATGATCATACAGGACCTCATTAATCAGCTGCATGACTACGGCTGGGGGCCCCTGTAGCCCAAACGGCATGACTTTGAATTGATAGCTCCCCAGGGGACAGTTGAAAGCAGTCTTCCACTCATCTCCCTCCTTTAACCTCACCCGGTAATATGCCTCTCTCAGGTCTAATTTAGTGAAGACACTCCCCTTAGCCAGGTGAGTTAGTAAGTCCTTCAGGAGGGGGAGGGATTATTTATTTTCCACAATCACCGCGTTCAATCCTTTATAATCCATGCAGAGACAAAGAAACCCATCTTTTTTTTCTTTAAACAACACAGGGGCTCCCAAGCAGACTTGGCCTGTTCAATGAATCCCCTCGCTAGGTTTTTGTCCACGTATCGCTGCATCTCCTCCATTTCGAGGGGGGGGGAACATAGTGTACATTCTCGGTCATGGGAGTTTAGCTCCCAGCAACAGTTCGATGGAGCAATCATTGGGTCGGTGGGGAGGCAGGGCATCACATTCTTTGTCACTAGATGTTTCCGCTAGGTCCTGGTACTCACTGGGGATGAGTGGCTCACCTGGTTGCGGTGAGGCAGCCATGTGCGCTCACTCTTTGGGTGGGCTAAAGTTTCCTGTAAGGTCCATTCAATTAATGGGGGGCTTTGGCCCTATAGGTAGCCTCACAGTTCTCATTCCCTTCTCACACCAGATAAACGGCTTCCCTTTGTCCAGCCAGGCTAATCCTAGGATCACAACCTCAGTCATTTTTGGAGCCACCAGGAAGCAAATGAACTCCCAGTGCTCACCTATTTCTAAACATAGGGGCTCAGTTAATTGCGTGACTAAAGTTCCTCCCATTAGGGAGCCATCGGCTTGTTCAAACCTCACGGGTTTGGAGAGCAGCTTTGCTCATATGCCCATTTTCATGGCAAATGGCAAGTTAATAATGCATCGGGAGCATCCAGAATCGACTAGCACTTTTAAATCTACCTGTGCCCCCGTTTTAGGGATTATGAGTTTGGCAGGGAGTGAAAAAGGTGTGACGTGTTGACTCACCATTGGGTCGTACTCTCTTTCGTAGTCACTGTTGTAAGAGGGTACAACGGCGGCGGGACCAGCCTGAGTCCTGGCATTCTCCTGCATGGGGGACATGGCAGCGTTGACATAGATAGCAAAATATTAAGAGCAACTAATGAATTTTGGGTTCCTCTGTAGAAGATTTACTAAATATGAGAAAATGAACTGATAAACATTAATTCTGATAATAAATATAATGATGCTCTGAGGTCTGTTGCAAGAAATGAATGTTGTTTTGAAAGAAGCAAAAAAGGCTGTATAAAATAGTGTGCTTATCTGCATTTTGTTATACGAGAATAGGCTATGTTAAAAACAACAACAGTAAATTAGATGCGGTGGGAGTGAAACACTAAAGAAGTGTAGTAAAACAAGAAGAGATGTGAGAAAAAGTGAATGAATATGAACGGTACACAAAAGAGAATGACAGACATGATATCAATTTAAGCATGCTGAGGGGGGTTATCATGTAGAAAGAGTGAATGATGATCAAATTACAAAACAAATATGTGAGGGATTATTGAATAGGATGAGAGGAAGGGTAGACAAGGAACTAATGCTAGATGTGTTTGATGAGATTCTCAAAAAGAAAAAGGTGAGAAGTTTATGGAACAAAAAAGGGGTTATGAAGTAGTGTACAGACATGGTGGAACAAAGGACAGCTTGCACAAATAGAAATGTATGAAGAAGTGTATGCTAATTTTAGCTATGACTCCTTCCCCCCTTTTTTTATCTTATGCCTTTAATTTCTTTGGCTTGCTACTTCTTACTTTTTTTCCTTACACAATATACTGTAACACTGTTGACCAAAAAAGGAATAGCATAATGGGCATTTCTGCATAACTGTTATAGCTGAATTGCACATAGTAACATAAATCTAAGTGCTATTGCTATCAACAAATTATAATAAAAATAAACCACGATTTAATGAAATTCTTGAACTGAGCCGTGTTGGCCTGGCTTCATATAATGTTATGATGACATAGGCAGACATGACCATTACATTAATCCAAAAGCAAACATTAAACATTAACATAATCAGGTTTTCTCCCTATTTTCCTTCTTCACCTTGTTGGTCTCAGATGATGGTATTAGGATACACCAGAAAATGGCTGCAAGTGATACCGATTTCATGATTTCTGAGACGTATGAATAAATATTACCTGGAGGATAGAGGGAAAACAACAGAACTCAGCCAATTCTTCGTAACACTATAGACATTTAGATATCACAATTCCTCTGCTAAAATGTGGCAAGCAGGTTTCCTCAGCATATCAGTAATCTTGACGTTAATTCCTCCTTTTAAGACCTGAAAACCTGAAACCATAAAAACTTATATCAGTAGGTGTAGAAGAGAACAGAAAATTGGCCTTTTCCTATTCCTTTTGCAGAGGAGACAGTTTGATTAGAAATAATCTTGCATTAGATTTTAAATATAGCTATTACATATTATCATTTTACCAGATATTACACCTTCTGCTTTTCTGTGATTAGATTAGATTTTTGGTTTGTCTGCAGAAGTTGTATGGTGGGTTTCAGGTGAAAATATACAGCAAATAATCTAATAACAGTAAGAAAAAAAATCAATATACAGGAAAGATCACAATTTTAGTATTTCAAATTTCATATTCTTTTAATTAAAATGGAGGGCAACTTGTAACTTATTTCCCATGTTCACAAAACATTTCAACTACACTGGTTAAAATGACTCTTTATCTTATGACTTTAATAGCAGTACGAACTGCGCAACAATGCAAATTACAATTATAGGAAACAAAATATGTATTTGTTCTTCAAAGTAGCTGCTTTTAATGGTAGAACCAAGGTTAATTAGTGGTCAGTCTTAATTAAAAAGCAAGCTCAAAATCCCTGCAGCTGTCTATCTGAATGCAAATAAAACAAAAAGAGCTATTAATCAGTTAGATTAGATCATCATTTACTAAGAAATGTTTGCATAAAAATGAGCCTCCTCCAAGTTCCATTTTACTGAAACATTGAAAAGCAAAAGCATTCTTAGCAAGATACTTGATCTTACATATGCATATCTACCACATTCATACATATCTACCACATCTATCTTAGGTGCTCTTCACATTTACATATATTTTGGAAAGTTTCAGCTTTTAGGCAGCAAACAATGAAACAACTGGACACAGAAAAGCCAGTCCAGTCATATAAAAAAGACCACAAAACTTTTGCGTCATTTGCAAAGGAATGTAAATTGAATGTTTCAACTATTAGACCACACCAAAGATGGGTTCTTTATCTGTTCTGTTCATGTAGTTTTATTTCTTCACTTTATTGGGACTGCTCTGCAATTTCCAATGTTCTTTGGGCTTTATATGGTTTCTCAGCAAGTTTAAAAACAACAGACAGTTTTGTGACATCTCAGGTTGCTAGCAGTTTATGGAGGTCCAGGGCAAACATCAATAGATTTATAAGGAAACTTTCTTGGGAGCTAAGAAACTCTGCTGGGATAGATCGTATGTTATTCTATGAAGCTTTAGTTTAGGTGGATAATATTAATTGCATTCCAATTTCTACTTATACTCAACAAGCCAGCAAATTGGAAATTAACCTTGTAATAACCACATAACATAAGCTGCAAAAGCTTTCCCGAATCTTACATGCAGTTATTGATTTGGAAATGATATCATCTCCAGCCATAGGAATCTATATTTCAGGTCAAGTTTGGACTGAGGAGGAGAGAAGGGCCTGTGCAGAGAATGAAGAGGTACACCTCTCCAGTCATTTCTTAAGAGATGCTAGAGCAGTGGTTCTCAACCTGTGGGTCGGGACCCCATTTGGGGTCGATCGACCATTTCATGGGGGTCGCCAAGCAAGGCTGTCCGCCATTTTTTTTGTCTGCCATTTTTTTGTCCATTTTTTTCCCCCTTTTCCGGTGGGTGCCTTACCTCCCTTGGGCTGGGCCAGCTGGTGGTCGGCCTGCTCCGTCTCTGCCGCTTGCCAGCTATGCCTCGGCCGGCGCAGGGGGCGGAACCACGCATGCGCGGCGCTCCTGGGCAGGGAAAGTCCTCTACTTACGACCGGTTGGGTAGTCCTCGACTTACGACCGGTTTAGTCCTCGACTTACGACCGGTTTAGTCCTCGACTTACAACCGGTTTAGTCCTCGACTTACGACCGGTTGGGGTCGCGGCATTAAAAAGGTTGAGAACCACTGTGCTAGAGAGAAACTGGGTGACCAGTGATGAGACTACAGTACCCAGGAACAGACCTCTGTTCAAACCCCATCTTTCTCCACTGCTATAATATGATTTCTACCTGCCCCCATCCCCATCCCAAAGCACGTAGTTATGTTCTGTCTGATTCTTTTATTCCTGGACTACTACTTCACTAAAGCATTTTTTAAAGCATCTGCTAAAGTTTACAGTTTCTCCTTTCTGTTTATTGAGTACTCCAAACTTAAAGGGAAGGAAGATACAGAGGATGCATTTCTCTCCTGCTCAGGGAGAAAAAAAGTGTAAACAGAGGGGAAAGAGACAGGTAGCTCTCGAAATCTTGCGCAATGGCCAGCTTTCCCAGACTATCCAACTTTGATGGCCAACTTCAGTTTCTTTCTATTTCCCAGAAAAGTGTGCATGTGATACATCTGCAACAGATTTAATTTTTGTTCCTTACGCAGAATTTGAATTTTTTTTTTTTGGGTGAAGAGATTCTATACATGTCATGATGAAAAACATCCCTAATGAAATATGGGTGCCTTTTGCTGCAACTCCTGAAGGAACGACAGCAAGTTCATAGCTGCCTACCTGCCTGCCAATCACCTTCTCCTGGCGATTTAAATTCCGTTTCAAACCATACCATTTTTCAGGACACGAACCACCAGAGAAGCACGCAGACCACGGGCAGAGATCGGATTCTTCCAAGCTTAGCTACACCTACAGTACAACAGGTTGCTAAGGAAATTACCCCCCTTTTTCTCCCAACCAGCATTGCGGTTTATCTTATTGGCGACGGAACAATAGCAGTGCCGGCTCCTAGAAACGGTCGAATCTGCTTTTCGCTGTGATTTTCCACTGTACTTCCTTAACCATAGTAGGCGTTGCTAGAAACCAAGCAATACCGTTTCTGCGATTGAAGGGACTATCAATAATTTTCGAAGGTTTAGTCAAATTTTGAACGTCCAGCCAAACGGCTGCGCAGTTTGGATTCCAGGTTGGACGATACAACGTTTAAAGTAGGAGAGGCGAAAAGGCTGCGTAGCCTCCGCTGATAGTTTTCAAAAAGACATTCATTGGGCAGCCTTTTGTCCGGAATGGTATATAGAGTCTCCTGCTCAAGCAAGGGGCTGGACTAGAAGACCTCCAAGGTCCCTTCCAGCTCTGTTATTCCGATCCTATTCTGATATTCTGTTCCTGCCGTAATATCCAATTTTGCCGGATGTGGGATTGATGTGCGAAGAAGTCGTTGCAACGTATTGGAAAGCTACAAGAATCCTGAAACGATTGATGAATGCAGTAACTTCAGCTTCTTATTCCTTGTGAAGATTTCCTTCGAATTTGGAGTAACTTTAATATTACTTGCCGAGGGGTATATGTTCGCTGTTCTGAGTTACTTATAAAAGTAATAAAGGTGGGGTTTATTTATTTATTTATTTTTTAAAAAATCTAATAAATACCTTCCAATATCGAATTTGAATCTCACCAGTATAATTTCAATTCCCTGGTTCTGGTCCAGCTCTCCAGAGTCCAGCCTCAGGTATGGAAACCAACTGGGTGATTTTTGGGCCACTTTTTCTCAGTCCAACTCACCTCATAAGACTGTTATGTGGAAAATAGCAGGAGGAAGGAGACTTGGGTATGTTCGCTTCCTTCAGTTACTTATAAAAATTATAAAGGCAGGATAAAAAAAAATAAAAATTGTCTAAGTAATAGCAGTGTGAAAGAAAAAGGAGAAGTTAAACTGGAGAAAAGTGGAAGGCTTAAGAAAGAAGCAGTGATGGAAGAAAATCAAATGCCATGGTATTGGGGTTGGCAAAATACCTGAACTGCCAAAGCCCTGGGAGTGGATAAGGCACCATCCTGTCTTCGAGAGGTCTAACTCAGGGGAGCCAAGATGATAATTTGTCTCAGTCTGTTAAAACAGTTTGTTTTAAAACATCATCAAAAACAGCTGTTGAGATATATGCATAATGTATCCAAGACATAACTGGGCTATAATATATAGATCATAGAGACAACAAAGAGATACAGAAAACTCTTAATGCCTTGCCTTATTTAATGATAATCTGGATTTCTGCAGCCCACATATGGTATGGGTAGCATCTATTTTACGAATTTAGACTCTTTCCATTTTTATGTGCTCTCTGAACCCTTGAGTTATTGATATCTCTTTATGAACAGAAAGTATTGAATCATGCCTGACATCTGTGATACTGTACACTTTCTTTAATGAACAGCTGCTGCAGAGTAACAAAGATTGATCCAATCTGCCAGAGATATTTTAAGAGATAAATAAAGTAGATCATTTAATGCATAAATATTTTTGCATGCGGAAAAAATACTGTCCAACCTTCAAGATGTTTTGGTAGGGTCTTTTGCATCTGAGCAATCATTACAACATTACATTTCAGTTACATACTGTTAATACTACTTCCCCTTAATTGCTGGCATAGATCTGGCTGCTACAAGTGCCATAAAAACACATTTCAGTGTGATGTCTCATACACCTGGGCAAGCTGTTGGTAAATGTATTGTAAAATTACAATAAAATAATTACAGCCATGTTGGTCCTGTGGAAAAAAATCCAAATTCATGCAGGAGATTTTCCATGAAGTCAACTTAAATTTTATTTTGCATATTGCATGTCACTCTTTGAACAGATATTAAAATCTAAAGCTATTATTTCTATAAATGTCCTTTGATAGTGGAATCCAGTTCTACATACTGGGATAAATTGCCACATGTAGAAGGGCAATTTTCTTTGCAGTAAATAATCCAGTGAATTACTTTCCTGTGCAGGTAACTCTTAACAGAAAGGACTTTCAATACTTAAAATGTGTAAAGCATTCTTTGTTTGCATATGAAATTGTATGAACAGCAATGACTTCATCTGTTCAATGAACTTGTGAAAACTGAGACCTTACCTAGGCAGCAATTAAGCTGTCTCCAAAACAAAAAATACAAGAATCTGTATAACCACCTGACTATTTAAAAATCTGCAAGTGAAAGAGGCACCCACAAGCTTCTTGGTTTGGTACCTTAAGGAGATTGGGAAGCACAGAATTCATCCAGAGTCATTCTTCTGAAGGGTTAATCATGGCTTACCATTAACTATGATAGTGCTAAAACAATCTGTCCATATTTCTTTGGTGTAAAGTTAACTATCCTGAAAAGAAAATCCTTGAAGGAAGAATCTGTAAGAATTTATGAGCCAAATACAGTAACTCCTTTTTGCTAAGTTAATTTACCTTATTACATTTCTATCTTTGGTGCCAATTTTTCAAACTAGCATGTTACAAATAGACCCAAGCCACTTCTCAATAGGTATTTTGCAACAGTGAAAGATCATATATTGGCATACAGTCAATGAGATGAAAAGGATATTGCTATTCTCATTCCATTAATAATACATCCAGTTCGACCTAAAAGCCAAGCCACAGGTTTGTAAGCAATAATGAATAAATGCATGCCACATTTGTATCACCAAACCAGACCAATGCTTGGCAGATTAAAGAATCCAAAGTAAGGTGTGATTGTTTCTCATTTTTGAAGTCAAATAATTATCCAAGACTTATTTTTTTTTTCTGACAGCAACAAATAAAGCAAATGGCAGTTCTCATAGATGGAATGTGCAGCCAGCAGCTTGCTTCAAATGCAGCATATTCTCTTGGATGGATTGAGGAGGAAGACAACAAGCAAATCCAATCAGAAATTGCAGGTGCAAGATATTTAAACTACAGATATGGGATCTGTATTAGCCAACAAAATTTTGCCTAGCTAACCAGCAGCTGCAGCTCACACCTAAAATAAAAGGTCTAGCTTAGCATCTTGTGCCGATCAAACACAGTCTTCCGCTGCTCCTGCACCTGACACTTCCACCTTTCCTGGGCTCCTTCCACTCTCTCCAGCACAGTATTCGCTCTGGCACTGGCTGAAGGATGTACAGTTGTCAAGGAGCAGGGATCCTGCAGTAACAGAAGAAAGTAACATCTCAAAGAAAAACCATTTCAGATGTGCAGTAATAATGCTCCACCTTGGGGTACAAAAATCAAATCAAAGTACTTTTAAAATAGAATGGATAGTAGTTTGCTATTCATATACACTATAAATAGTAAAGTACTCATCATTAACAACAGACATCCCAAACTAGCGATGTTACTGAAGTACGCGTCAGACAATTAAGAATGGTTAGTTACCTTCTATAAAAACAAATGCAAAGGAATTGCAGTCAAATGTCCTGGTAACATTTTGTCCGCCAAAAATGTAAATATCCCCTAATCTATACAAACACATTATATTGCACTGTTGGAGATATTCCTGAAATATAATTCCCAGCTTCCTCTCTCTCTCTTGATCATAATGAGCTGTACTACAGAAAAATCTGTTTTGAAACAAACAGCTTTATTTTAGATACTGCTTCAGCATTCTAATTCAAATGAATGAACGACATACAAAATAAAATCCTTTGGTTTTGTATTATACCTTAATGTGATTTATGTGATCTCAGGAAACACAGTTAACAGGATTTGAAAATATTTTCTTCAAAACAAAATGTGCTCATATTTAATGTGCTCAAACTTCAAAGATGTAACCCACAATCTAGAATGAAATCCTAAATTCCTTTATGCCACCACTAATTGTTTAAAGCTGCCTTCTCTAACCCAGTCACCTCCAAACTTCAGAAAGCTGCAGTCCCAACTTATGTGCAGTATTTCAGCTTGGAAATGTTAGTTCTGAGTGCTGATTATTGAAACAGATTTTGAGGCATATCTTAAACCCACCTCAGGCATTATGATGTCTGGAAAGGATGAAGTTGCGCCTGTATTGGGGAGAAGGGTATCTAGAGGGAAAGGGCTGCATACTGAACAAGGGTGGGAAAGCTTCCATCAATGTGTATATAGAAAGCTTTTTGTGAATAAATATGTAAATAAATGAATTAAGCATACATGGAGATATTTACATACCAATCGCTTTGTTCTGAAAAATGATTGGTATGTAGAAATCACCACTGAACACATTTAACTACTGTTAAATCTGAACACAGAGTCTGCTTACTGCCAAGCATTCCTGAATCTCAGGTTTTCCAAATCATTAGTTTTTAATTCCCACAATCTACTAAGTGAGGGATTGTGGGAAGAAACATATGGAAGACACCAGATTTAGGTAGCCCAGATGAAAGAAAACCTGTCTAAAGAGCACCAAACTCACCTCTGACTCTTCTTCATTGTGCAGGGGCTGGGCATAGGCATCAGGTTTGCGGATGAAAGGGTCAACTACCATTAAAAAGACCATGTAGAGAAGAAGAGCTCCAATCACTGAGAGGTAAATGATGATGATGATCTGCATGAACAGAGCAGCAAAATGTCATCAAAGATCCTGGATAAAAGAACATATTTACTGAAAGACAAAAAGGATAAGTACAAAAAAATGGAAAGAGGGACACATAATTAAGGCAGAATATCAACAGATAGCCAGAATCTGCAAAGATGAAGTCAGGAAAGCAAAGGCTCAGAATGAACAAAGACTTGCAACAAAAGTCAAAGATAATTAAAAAAAAGTTTCTTACAACTTAATAAGAAAAAAGTCAAGGAAACAGTCAGTCCACTAAAGAGAGAAGATGGCAAGGAAGTAACAGGCAGCAGAGAGAAAGCAGAACTGCTTGATTCATTCTTTGCATTGGTCTTCATGCAAAAAGAAACTATAGCCCAACCTACCAAAAACATATCTGTAAAAGACAGACTAGAAATAAACATTAAAAGAAGCAAGAAAATAGTAAGAGAACACCTGTCTGACCTTGATGAATATAAATCACTGGGACCTGATGGATTACATCCCAGAGTTCTGAAGGAGCTGGCAGATGTTATCTCAGAACCATTGTACCATATCTTTAAAAACTCCTGGAGCACCGGAGAACTACCAGAGGATTGGAAAAGAGCTGATGTGGTTCCCATCTTCAAAAAAAGGGGGGAAAAAACAGACCCAGGAAACTACAGTCCAATCAGCTTAACATTAGTACATGGGCAGATACTGGAAAAAAATAATCAAAAAACAGATCTGTGAACATCTAGAAAGAAATAAAGTTATAACTAGTAGCCAGCACGGGTTTGTTAAAAAGAGATCATGCCAACCCAATCTTATTTCATTCTTTGACAAAGTGACTAAATTAGTAGACCAGCGAAATGCTGTGAACATAGTATACTTAGGCTTCAGCAAGGCATTTGACAAGGTAGATCACAACCTTCTTCTTGGTAAGTGAGAAAAAAGCAGGATAGATAGCATCACCACCAGATGGATTTGTAACTGGCTGACAAACCATACTCAACAAGTAGTCCTCAATGGTATTACATCTACATGGAGGGAAGTAAGCAGTGGGGTACCACAAGGTTCTGTCTTCAGCTCAGTACTCTTCAATATCTTCATAAATGACTTGGATGAGGGAATAGAAGGGGAACTCATCAAATTTGTAGATGATACTAAGCTGGCAGCAATAGACAACACCGGAGATGAAAGACTCAAGATCCAAGTGGATCTCAACAGACTTGAACAGTGGGCCCTATCTAAAAAATGAAATTTAATGTAGAGAAAAGTAAAGTCTTACACTTAGGCAAGAAAAACCAAAAGTACACATACCTGGCTTAATAGCAGTAGTTGTGAGAGGGATTTTGGGAGTCCTAGTGGACAATCAATTAAATATGAGCCAGTAGTGTGTGGCGGCAGCCGAAAAAGCCAATTCAATCCTAAATTGCATCAACAGAGGGATTGGATCAAGATCATTTGATGCACTAATACCACTCCATAAAGCCTTAGTAAGACTACACCTAGAATACTGCATCCAGTTTTGGTACCACACTGTAAAAAGATGTTGAAACTCTAGAAAAAGTGCAGATGATTAGGTACCTGGAGGCTAAAATATATGAAGAATGGTTGCAAGAATTGGGCATGGCTACATTAGTGAAGAGAAGGACCAGGGGTGACATGATAGCAGTGTTCCAATATTTGAGGGGCTGTCACAGAGAGGAGGGGGTCAACTTATTTTCCAAAGCACCAAAAGGCAAGACAATAAACAATGGGTGGAAATTAATCAAGGAGAGAAGCAACCTGTAATTAAGAAGAAACTTCCTAACAATAAGAACAATTAACCAGTGGAACAGCTTGCCTTCAGAAGTTGCAGGGGCTTCATCACTGGAGGTTTTTAAGAAAAGACTGGACAGCCATCTATCTGAAATGGTATAGAGTCTCCTGCTTGAGCAGGGCGTTGGACTAGAAGACCCCCAAGGTCTCTTCCAGCTTTATTATGATTGATTGATTGATTGATTGAGCAAAGCATCAAGATCTATATTGTAATAGGGGAAATCAGCTAAAAAAAATTACCAGTGTTTGAAAGGATAGGATCAAAATATGGACAAAGTTACCAGGTTGGATTATCCCAATCTGATGTCTTTTCAATCTGCTGGAAGAATATGCAGATATGCAAATTCAAAATTCTGCATTGTCTAGATATCAGATTTAAGAAAGGATGAAGAAAATAACACCTTTCCAGGAAAAGTTAAATAATTCAAAACCAAACATTTATATACAGTACATAACCAAAACATGACTAAAATTATTTCCTTGATCTCTTAAAGAGAAATCTAATATATGATTCTGAAATGCAGCTTTAAGTACAAGGTAAGATCTATATGAGAAACATTAACCAGAACTACCAATGTAGACACTCTTGTCTCAATCTCATAATGCTAATTTCCTTGTGAGCATATTTCCAGAGTCTCTTTTTAGTTCCTTGACGGTTGTTAACAGTCAAAATTCTTAGTTCTATACAATGAGGACAGAAGACAGTGAAAGCTGGTATAAGAGATAGTTTTGTATTTTACCTTGATGGTCGTGCTGCTTCGTTCTTCATACTTGCACTCACACAACAGGCAATATGCCTCAACATCATGTCCTAGCACTGGCATAGTGTCCACCAAATGCAGGCAATTACTGCAATTATGAGAAACAAGAAGCAACAACAGGCATCAAAAACCTTCTATTGTATGGAAGTTCACCTGTTTTACAGGATACAGAGTTTAATGTTACATTTAGTTGGATAATTTTGAGACTGTTATTGCATCACTAAATTAATTCCCTTGACAGATATACAAATAGATAAAATCTACAGGATAAAAGTGCCCTACTTGATCAGACAGAAAGCATGAGACTAGTTCATTTCACTGAACTGTTTTCCTATACCAAAGACCAGTTTTAAATCAGCTTTTTAGAGCAATCACATCTTGAAACATGAGAATCATTTCTCAAATTTGTCTCACCAATCTTTCTGTGATACATTGTTCTTGTAAATGTGTCCTTTTATATTCCGATATGGTGGACAGACACACTTGCAGCGGATGTCCTCAAATGTCTACAGAAGAAAAATAGGATACAACTAGAATAAGCAGTGTGTGAGCAATAGTTTTGCCTCATTGCAAAATAAAGTAATTAACAATACTCTTTCCAGTCATGTCATATTATGCTGGGGAACCTATGATCCTTCGTATTTTCTTGAACTACACCTTGGTTGTTACAACTGTTACAACTTGGTTGTTACAACTTTATTTCAGTAATATTGGCTGTCCACTCACTCTTAGCGATTCTGGGCAGCTTACAAAAATAAAAATCCAATATACAAACAAGAAAAAAATACCTCTCCCCCCCCCGCAACAATAATTAATCAAACAAGCCACTTGATGAGCTCCATTCCACTCTGGGTTCCCCAGGTCCTTTGGCAAAACCAGGTCCTTGCAAAGGTCTTCAGCACCTTGCAAAAGAATGTCAAAGTGGAGTTTACTCTAATCTCTATAGGGATGTTCCAAAAAGAGGGAGCCACCACAAAGAAGGCCCTTCTTCTGTGCCCCACCAGATTTACTGCCTTAGAAGAGGGGACTCGCAACATTCGCTGCCTCCCAGGTCTGGTGAGTGAGGTGGATGTAACTGGGAAGAGACAGTCCTTCAGAAAACCTGGCTTTAAGCCATGTAGAGCTTTGAAGGTGACAACCAGCATCTTGAATTGTACCCAGAAGCAGATCGGTAGCCAATGAAGCTCCCACAGGAGAGATGACACCTGTGCACATCTACATCTGCACAAAACCAAGTGGCCCACTGCATTTTGAACCAATTGGAGCTTCCAGATTCATTTCAAGGCCAGCCCCATGTTACAATAGTCAAGACAGGAGGTGACTAGGGTGTGATTAACTACCAGCAAGGATTGTTGGTCTAGGAAAGGACGTAACTGATGCACAAGCCACAGTTGCATAAAGACCCTCCTGGCCATGACTGCCACCTGCTTCTCGAGCAAGAGTCATGAGTCCAGAATACACACTGGTTCTGTCTGGGGCAGTGCCACCCCTTCCAAGACCAGAGATGGCAACTCTTCATGGACTAAACAACCCCAAATCCAGAGTCATTCGGTGTTTCCAGGATTCAGTTTCAGCCCATTGCTCCCCATCCAGCAAATAAAATTGAATATTAGTTGCTGAGGGCGATAAGATTGGTACATAATGGAATTAAAACCTGTGTGAGAATAGAATGCTTAGTGAATGATTAAACACTGAACAGGGAATAAGATAAGGATAGAGATCCTCTTGTATCACATCTTCTTGATTGTTTAATGTGTTTATGAAAGAATGATTAAGGAAAGTTTTACGGTGACGTTAAGCGATGTGATGATTGTAGCCATGAACATAGCTGTACATTTGTATTTAATAATATTGGGTTGTTGGCTGATAGAGTATATGATACAATGAGGAGCATGGATCTGAAAGTATATATGAATGCTGAGATTATTGTGTTTATCAAAGAAAATAGAGTGAAAGATTGCAGACTATATTCAGATTTCAAAATAATTAGAGCAAGTAAATGACTTTGGGTACATCTGTTGAAATTAATCCATAAACAAACATTTAATTTAATTATAAACTGATTTTTTGTCTGTTTTCCTCCCTCACCTTGTTGGCCTCAGATGATGGTATTAGGATACACCAGAAAATGGCTGCAAGTGACACCGATTTCATGATTTCTCAGACTTGTGACTAAACATTACCTAGAGGATAGAGGGGAAACAACAGAACTCAGCCAATTCTTTGTAACATTATAGACATTTAGATATCACGATTCCTCTGCTAAAATGTGACAAGCAGGTTTCTTCAGCACATGTGTAATTTTGATGATACTTCCTCCTTTTAGGGCCTGAAAACAGCAATAAAAACATGTATCAAAAGCCAACAGTTCACAAAAGATTTGGAGGTTGCACAAGAACTTGTAATGGGTGGGGAAGAGAAAATCAGCCTTTTCCTATTCCTTGGGCAGAGGAGCCAATTTGACTAGAACCAATGTTGCATTAGATTTTAAATATAGCTCATTACACATTACTATTTCACCAGATATTACACCTTGTGCTTTTCTGGAACTAGATTAGATTTTTCTACAGAAGATGCACAGTTTCAGTTGAAAATACACAGCAAATAATCTAATAACAGCAAAAAAAGTATCAAGATAGGAAAGATTAATTCATTTGAATCATATTTTCACGCTTTAAAATTTCATACTCTTTTAAGTCACCTGGAGGCCACAGTTTAACTTATTTCCCATGTTCACAAAAGAAAGAAACATTTCAGTTGCACTGGCTACTTCTTTATTTTATCGCTTTAATAGCACAGTAATGAAAATTACAATTGCAGGAAAGAAATATGTATTCATTTTTCAAAAACAGCTGCTCTTAATGGTAAGTCGAAGTTAATCAGTGCTTATACAAACTATGCATACTTCAATATTTCCAAAGAACCCAGTAATATTGTCTTTCCTGAATACTGTGTTGAAGTGCTACCTAGCCATCTTTGAACTGGCATAGAATACCAGTTTAAATCTTGCTGTCCTCATTGCCAATCTTGGCTTTGCTGCCATCCCTTTCTAGCATGTCCCCAGCCAGCAGGGAATGCGTCCACCAACTGGGATACTATGTCACGAATGAGAAAAGCCTGACTTCAGGAGTTTCTCAGCTCCTCCTTCCATGTCTCCCTTGACTACTCCCAACTTTAAAAATATGGGTAGATACAAGGTAGATATAGTTGTATTATTCAATTTATCCCTGGGTCTTGTAACCAGGAAAAACTAGAATGGATTAGTTACTGGGTAATAAAGTCTCTTATCTCAAGAAAAGGAGAAAGAAGTGACTGAAAATATTCACTCTTGGTTGTGTTAGTGATTTTGGTTTGCTGTTTCTTGGGTGCTTTGTATTTTAATTGTTGTAATGATATAATTGTTTTTATCTTATTTAAGTTCTGTTCACTGCTCAGAATCACTCCACAGCTGGCATACCATCTCAGACAAAAATCCCTTTAGTTTAAAAGTTCTAAACAAATTCCATACTTTCACTATCAGTTATTCTTCTTTGATGTGCTCTATAGCCCAACATATGAATTATATAAATACAACTTTATCTACAGGGTCAAAATAGGATAAGAAAGATAATGCTAATCATACGGGTGAAAGACATATATATTAATGCATAAAGCTTTGATCTAAGAGGATAGTTTTAATTGTAGTCCAATTTCTACATATGTTCAAGAAGTCACCAAATTAGAAATTAATCATGTAAGTAGTCCTCGACTTACAGCCACAATTGAGTGCAAAATTTTCATTGCTAAATGAGGCAATTGTTAAATGATTTTTGTCCCATTTTACCACCTTTTTGCCACAGTTGTTAAAGCAAATCACTACAGTTAAGTGAATTATGCAGTCATTAAGCAAATCTGGCTTCCCCCATTGTCTTTGAATGTTGGAAGCTGGCCTGGGAAGGTTACAAATGGTGATCACATGACCCCAGAACAGTGCAATTATTAGAAATACATGCCAGTGGCCAAGCACCCAAAGTTTGATCATGTGACTGTGGGGAATGTGGCAACGGTCTTAAGTATGAAAACCAGTCATAACTCACGTTTTCAATGCTGTTGTAACTCCAAACTGTCATTAAACAAATGGTTGTAAGTCAAGGACTTTGTATAACCACACAACCTAAGCTGGAAAAACTTTGCTGACTCTCACATGCAGTTTTTGATTTGGAAATGGCACCATCTCCAGCTACAGCTTGAATCTATATTTTAAGTCAAGCTCAGACTGAAGAGAGATGGGTCTGTGCAGGGACTGAAGAGATACACCCACTCCAATCATTTCTTAGAGATGCTTGAGAGAAACTGGGTGACCATGTGATGGGAATGGAGTACCCATGAACAGACATCTCCTCAAACCTCATCTCTCCTCACTCCTATGATTTCTACCCACCCTCTCCATCCCAAAGCATGTACTCTAAAGAAAGACTGTGTATTTCTTGTGTGTTCTGACTGATTCTCTTATTCCTGGACTACTTCATTAAAGCCCCAAAGATGCTTTTTCAAAATTCAACTGTACTTTCTTTTTCCTTGAAGACATTTCACTTCTCACCCAAGAAGCTTCTTCAGTTCAGAAACTTCTTGGATGAGAAGGGAAACATCTTCAAGGAAATATAAAGAAAGTCCAGCTCCCTTTTGAAAAAGCACCTTTGGGACAACCATGACTGAAAATCTCCACAGACATTCTTCACTAAAGCAAATTTCTTAAGCATCTGCTAAATTTTACACTGTTTTTCCTCTTTGTGGTGCAGAGTACTCCAAATTTAAATGGAAGGAAGATGAAGAGGAGGCATTTCCCTCCTGCCCAGAAGAAATAACAATAAACAGAGGGGAAAGGGACAGAAGCTCTCAAAAGCTTTCCCTGGCCAACTTCAGTTTCTCCTCCTCTCCATTCCCCATAAAAGTGTGTATGTGATACATCTGCAACACACTTTTGTTCCTTACGCAGAATTTGGATTTATTTTTTTTATGGTGAAGAGATTCTATACATGTCGTGATGGAAAACATCCCTAATTAAATAAGGGTGCCTTTTGCTGCAACTCCTGCAGGAATGACAGCAGTTCACAGCTGCCTGCCGATCACCTTCTCCTGGCGATTTAAATTCCGTTTCAAACCATACCATTTTTCAGGACACGAACCACCAGAGAAGCACGCAGACCACGGGCAGAGATCGGATTCTTCCAAGCTTAGCTACACCTACAGTACAACAAGGTGCTAAGGAAACCGCTTCCCGTTTTCTCCCAACCAACATTGGGGTTTATCTTATTGGCGACGGAACAAGAGACTCACCCAGCAGCGCCCGCTCCTAGAAACGGTAGGATCCGCCTTTCGCTGTGATCTTCTGCTGACATCACCATAGCGGATGTTGCTAGAAACCAACCAAAGCCGTTTCTGCGATTTAAGGGACTATTAATAATTTTCGAGCCTTTGATTAACAAGAAAAAAAAATCAGTCATGTGACTGCGCTGTTTGGATTTAAGGTTGGACTGCAAAACATTGAAGGAGGGAGAGGCTAAAAGGCTGCGTAGCTGTTCCTTGCATGATCTCAGGTGCGGGATTAAGACGCGTTGTCATTTTACCTATTTATTCTGTAACGTTTTGGGAAGTCACAAGAGTGCTGTACGTTTGCTCAAACAATTTGGGGAATAACTTAAGTGCTAGCTTTTCATTGCTTGTAAAGAGGCGCGTGGAATTTCGGATTGTTTTACAAGCATCCTTGCCTTGCTACCTTTGAGCACCATCACAACAGCAAAAGGAGAAATTCTATGTGCACCATCACAACAGCAAAAGGAGAAATTCTATGTGCAGAATGTTTTCCCACTATATGCCGTTTCCTGCTATCATCTATCTATCTATCATCTATCTATCTATCTATCTATCTATCTATCTATCTATCTATCTATCTATCTATCTATCTATCTATCTATCTATCTATCCATCCATCCATCCATCCATCCATCCATCGTTATGTTGGCCCATAATCAACGCCCGTGGGTTTTCTGATCCGATTTACATTATACATCCGATTTACATTATACAGCAATTATTGGGGGAAAAGGTAAAAGGACATTAATTGTCGCAAATGCAGTGCATTACCTAGGGTCATTTCCCCGCCTCTATTAACTAAATGGATAAACTCGGTTCCAGTTGTGGAAACAAAACTCATAAAAAGGGCCTTTGAACATCTGCAGTTCTACTTCAACCGGAATCAACTTGTTTTAACCTGTCTGAAAGTTTGATTAAATGGTAGAAAGAAAGAGCAGCATTCTATTAAAGGAGTATTAGGGAAGAAAAGTTGAAAGAAAAAAAACCCCGCATATTCTCCCCCCACCCCCAAAGCAATAAGTAATTATTCGATGCTGCAATCCGCACTCATTTTTGAAATTCTCCTCAATTTCACTCCATTGTCCGCGCTGCAACCGCCGGCTATCGTGAAATTGCTGCAAAGAAACTGCCCGGATGTGGCGTCAGCAAAGACCGAAGGTAAAGTGCGAGCGGGCAAGTGTGGGCGCAATGGCTGCAGTTGATTGCATTCTGAAATTAGGAGGTAGTGCATTGACGCAGAAAAGCCAGCTGGAGACGCTGAAAACGGAGTCATTGCGGAGGGCGGCTGTTCTTGTTTCGAAGCTCTGGGAGGCCGGAGAAAGACGTTGCATAATTGTGCACGGCGCAGGGTAGGAACTCGTGCGAAGTAGCGGAAGGCTTCTGCCCCTGAGCCAGGATGCCAAATAGGCGTCATCGGTCCGGACCCTCCTGCGTCTCGGGATAAATTGGACCTCAGTTTCCATCTTTCCCAAACAATTTAATGCCAATGCTGGCCGTCAATGAAAGGAGTTGAAGTCCCACACATCTAGAGGGGGTATCAAGTTAGGGAAGATTGTGGAGCAACTTGAGACGTAGGGTTGCCAGGTGTCCACTATTTGAGTGGACAGTCCACTTTTTTCACATTATGTTCACTATTTTCTTTCACAAAATAGTGGACATTTTTTTATTCAAAAGCTTTATGATGAAATGGTACGTAATCTAAAGCTGTACAGTCTACTTTTTTTACTACTTAACCCCCCCCCCCCCCCGCTTGTCCGCTAGTTTTTGGAAGCAGACCTGGCAACCCTACTTGAGAGGGCGATTGCACTATGTTTAAATTTGCACCGACAGCAAATACATCTTGTAACGCAGCCATGCATATTTTTATTTGGAAGGAAATCCCCACTTTTCCCAATGAATCGTATTCCTGGGATTGCACCAAGAGAATGCACTTGAGCTGCGTTTTAATGAGTTTTCTGATAAACGTGCATGGAATCGAACTACGCAGCATATATAGCGGCATCATGGTTTGAGAAAAGAATATACCGTACCTTTTAAAGAAATATGACAAAGATTTTTTTTTAAAAAAACCTTTCCTAGCTTACTAATTGCATGTTTTTTCATAATGCAGTAAGTCTTGTTAATATTAAAGGATCAAACAGTAGAAAATAAAGGGAGAAAAACCTGAATTATACAGAGTTCAGAAAGTAGCAATCTAAGATAAGAAACAAATGTGAGACTATCCCTGCAAATCTATGCACACTTTCTTATAAATAAGTCCTCAACATGACCCCCCAAAATGGAATACTTTAGGGATACAGTGTTAGGCCTACTTATAAGGGAATAGCTCCTATTGGATACATTAATTAGGTTTACAGACTATTTTAAATCAGTTTGGTTAACCCTGGTTTATTGAAGAACCCACAAAGAGCTAGATTCAAAGAAGATGTTTATTAAACAATTTATGTGGCCACCCAATTGGCACACAGTGATGTTGGGCAGTGTACAGAAATAAAAACCCACAAACCTAAATCCTAAATCAGGTAATCGGCAGGGCATGGATAGCATGTCAAGCCAAGCAATCAAAGCAGGGTTACTATCCAATATTGTCATATGAAAAAAAACAATTGCTATTGAATAGTTTCTCATTACAATTAATGGGGAAGATTAACATACTGATATTTCATAATTTAATGTATTATAATTAATAAACTAAACTGAAGATTTTATTTTTGAATTGGTCTAGTTTTATCAAATAACCCTAATGAAGGTTCAAGCCTCTAGAACAGTGGTTCTCAACCTTTTTAATGCCGCGACCCCCAACCGGTCGTAAGTTGAGGACTAAACCAGTCGTAAGTTGAGGACTACCCAACCGGTCGTAAGTCCAGGACTTTCCCTGCCCGGGAGTGCCGCGCATGCGTGGTTCTGCCCCCTGCGCTGGCCGAGGCGTAGCTGGCAAGCGGCAGAGACGGAGCAGGCCGATCACCAGCTGGCCCAGCTCAAGGGAGGTAAGGCACCCGCCGGAAAGGGGGAAAAAAATGGCGGACAGCCTTGCTTGGCGACCCCCGTGAAATGGTCGATCGACCCCAAATGGGGTCGCGACCCATAGGTTGAGAACCACTGCTCTAGAACAATTTCTCAGGTGACTCTGTTTGGCTGGAAGTTTTTTGTTTTCTTGCCAATAAATTGCTGCAAGGGACATGAAACAAGCTAAATTGTATATATAAACATATGAACATTTGTTCCACATCCTCTAATGACTGATATCCTATTTATTTAATAAAAAACGGTACCATATGTTTGAAGTGAAACCAAATATTTATCATAGCAAACAAAGAATTGAGTGAAAGCTCCTTGGTTTTGGCCTTTCAAGTACCTCATAGTGGAATATTTTGTGGATATTTCCTGACAGATAAATATTTCTTTAAGAGGCAGTTGCATAAAGAGAATTGAGATGCCTTTTCATTGCCATCTTGCACTTTTGCATATCAGGTGCACTTTCCGAGTTCTAAAAATCTGGGCAATGGAGAAAAGAAGGAGGAAAGTCACTCCGGTACTATTGAGACAGCAGGGGAAGAACTGCTGAAAATTGCATGAAGATTTTGTCAGGCACAATGGATCCAAGGCCCATAAGAAATAGCTCCATGCCCAGGTAGGGCAGGCAGAGGATAATTATACTCCTGACCATGCATTAAGATGTCACATCTGCCGCCAGAGCTGGCACCTGCACCAGTGTCTGCCATGTTTCTTCTTGCTATGGATTTAGGGGGGAAAGTGCAGCTATAAACCTGTATAGAACCGGCAATGGTAAGGCTGCACTGAGATGTTTTCAGTGTCCAGGTTTGGAGCCAACAAATCATTGTTTTGACAGTGGTGGCGGCCATGATAGCACCTTGATGCAAGGCTAGGAATGCAGTTGCCTTTTGGCCTGCAATGCCTAGGAACAGAGCTTCATGTTAGTGACTAACCCAAGTGAAGATTCATAATGTGTGTTCATGATTACTGTACCAGGAAGCTGGCCAGCTTTTATGCCTCACTCTCCTATTGGTTACATGTGGGCTGCAGAACATGACATATGTTTTCAACTATAGTTTAGCGACTTTGTTTTTAAATGTTCCTTTGCAGAATTGATTTTTCTCTTGATATGTCTCAAAATAATTTCATTTTCTGAGTCATTGAGTTAAAAAATGATGTCTCCCTATCTTCTCAGCTTGGTGTGGTAGTGAAAATATAAAAATATGTTAATTAACATTCTTAAAATGTATAATCCTGTCAAATGACAAGTGCAGTTTGCTTGTTATTGTGTGGTATTGCAACTAAATGAAATAAGTAAATGAAATAAATGGGTGTTTCAGATATTTTAAGTTATATTTAGCATATGATCTGTTTGTTTACTGGCCTTGAGTTTCCTCCTATTGAAATTTATTTGAATAAATCATACAAAGTGGTGGATTATCTGGTATTTTGTTCCTTATTTTATGGCACAGGATTAATGGCAGCAAAGCTCCTGAAATGAAAGAATTAACCTGAGACCTTTATAGGTCTGCAAATTATGCCCTATAATCCCAGAATCAATTGACATGGAAAGTAAGAAGAGGTGGTGTTGGTGTCAAATTCAAGTAGCCATTCCAAGCTTGAGCTGGGTGGGATCGTAACAAGGATACTGATGGCATTTAACTCTACAGAACTACAGAAGCTTAGGCAGGTTTAGATCAGGACTTGGGTCAATAAATTGAAACTAAGTGAAACAGGGATATTAGCCAATAAAGCAAAAAGAAGAAATGAAGCTTTTTATAGGTTGTCCCTAAATATATTTATTTGAAGGAATGTCTGTTGTCTAACAAATATATTTATGAAATAGCTTTGATGAAGTAAATTAATTATTCCTTTATCCAGATATGTTGAAACCTGAACAAGAAGTAAGGACAGTTTGGTTTATCCAAAGTGCATCCTTGAGATTGTCCTTGACAGTGGAAAATACTCTGAAATTAATTAAGAATCATTACATACCTTCAAATAAATATCTTTCTGACATCCTGGAAAACTTGGTCAAGAGACAGAGACTGAATCCTGGTAAGATTGGTGGATGGCAACTTCCAGACTTGGGAAATAGGTAACTCTTTTTTTGAAGGATCAGATACAGATGTTACTGAATTCTAACACCATATAGTCGTAACTGGCATGGGCAATGGGAAGTAGGAAGTTATTATGGAAAATGTTATGCAATAACATCTGGAGGATCACATTTATCTACCTGTCTCTATTCCTCTGGCCCTATTACAGTTCAAGGACATGTTATAGATTGTTTTCTTGTCATTTGACAATTCTGTTATTGACATTGCCACTTGACAGTGCCCAATTATGTTGGGTTAAGAAAATCTGTGTGGTTGCTAAGAGTTGACGGTGAATTGATGGCACACAATCATCAAAAGCCTTGCCCAAGCATTATGAACCTAGAGTACCTGCTATGTGAAAAATTCAGATAATTTCCTTACTCCCTTCCTTGCCAATAGTCACCCTAATAAGGTCATCTTCTTTCCTGTAGGAAAGAAACAGTTTGATATGATCCAGGCCCCCTGATATTGCAGAGTTTTGACCTCTGAGTGAGTAAGTGTACAAACACATATGTATAACACATTTCTTGAAATGCTACACATACAAGTAACTACAGGATGTGGCCTGACCTTTTTATACAGGACTAAATAAATAGCCTTAGTAGTCAAGTCTTGAAATGGCCATCGAAAAGGAGTATTGATCCATGAAATTTATTTTTTTTCTTTCTTTCTTTCTTTCTTTCTTTCTTTCTTTCTTTCTTTCTTTCTTTCTTTCTTTCTTTCCTTCCTTCCTTCCTTCCTTCCTTCCTTCCTTCCTTCCTTCCTTCCTTCAGTCCTAAGCTAATGAATATGAAAAGAAAAGTGTTACCTGGAATATATTATCAACTGTTCCTGTTTTGTCTTGTTCTTAGGTAAATTTGTAACTTTTTTAATAGGGTAAAATATAATTATGAAGTCTGAAATTCCCAGTTTAAAATCTGGAATTTTATGTGATGGTTTAAAGAATGGACATATGGATAAGATTTCCCTGAGAAATTATATCCATTAGTTATATATATCCAATATCCAGCTTTTTCTTGCTTATTATGGCATGATCTTTTATAGATAGCCTCCATCATTGACCTAAAGATACTTTGTTTTAATAAGAGTGAAGTTCCATTTCCAGCAGGTGGCAGCAGTTGTCATCTTTGGTAAAATACATTGCTGTTATTTCAGCAGAAAGATGGAAGAAAAGGACAATCACAAGCAAATGGATAGATTCAGTGGAAGTAATGATGAGGGCAGCATTGGAAGAGCTGAAAGACCAAGTTAAGGAC